CCAACAGTGATCCAGGTCATACTCAGAAACAGAGATGCAGTTCAAGGCAGCCATGGGAAAAGGAGACTCCAGAAGATGGACCAGGAGCAAAGGAAATGTTTGTAAGAGGAGCATCAGTGTCTAATTCCTCAGGAGAGCACAGCCTTCCAGGATGCTGCATTACAGTGCCTGGGGCAGGGCAGGAAGCAGAGCCCAGGCTCAAGGAACTGAGTGCTCTTCTGTGAGCTTTAGGAAAGGCCTATTTGAGAATCTCGTGTGTGTGTGTGTGTGTGTGTGTGTGTGTGTGTGTGTGTGTGTGTGTGTGAGAGAGAGAGAGAGAGAGAGAGAGAGAGAGAGAACAAGAGAGCGCTAGTTAGTTACAGGCCTTTCCCTCAAGAAAATGCACTTAATTTTAGAGTGTTTGCACTTAATCTTAGAGTCCCAAGCACCCCTGAGGCCTACTTGTGCACTTTGGAGTAGAATTCCACCCACCCCAAAGTAAAGTCCTAGTGGCATTACGTGTCTGGCCTGTAGAAACAGTTAATGACTTGCAGAACCAGTCTGGACTTCAGTGCCCCCACCAGAGCCCTCTTCCTCTGCATCACTGTACCCACCTATGTAAGGGATTCAGGTCCTCCTGATGACCAGCGCACTGCCTGTAGAACTAGTTCTAACAGGGCCTCACCACACTCAAGAATCCTAGCCGTCATGGTTTGCTTCAGGAGCTTGGTGACTGTACACTAGCTGTGCTAGATGAGGGGTTCAGGCAGCAAACCCCACCCTTGCTACTGTCCAGAGTAGAGTCAGTTCTCATCTGGTATCCATGTGGGGTCAACCTTCACATGTCTTCATCATCCTCATCACCAGCCATGCAGCATTTCCTCAGACCCTAACCACCCAGACTAAAAGGTAAATAACTCTGTCCCTGGTTCATTCCCGGGGTTTGGCACCACAAAAGCTAAGGGACTCTGTCCTTTCACATCCACTCCTGCACAGCCTCTGACCACCAGTCACCCAAAGCCAGGCTTTCACAAGTCAGGGCTCTGCTTTTCAGCCCTCGCTGGCTCTCACTGTCCTTAGTGGGCTTGATAAATGAGCTTCCACTGTTATAGCATTTTTAATATCACTACCAAAGTATACAAGGAGTTCTGGTGGCCCAGTGGCGAGACGCTGTGCTGCAATCCCGAAGGCACCAGCAGCTCCGCAGGAGAAGGATGAGCAATCTCCTCCCGTGCGATCAACTGCCTCTGAAAATCCACCAGAGCAGCATCAGAGAGAAAGGAAGACCCTCTCTGAGAATGACACAGTGACTACAACAATGAACTTGAGCGTGGCAGAGACTGTGAGGATAGCTCAGGACAGGGCACAGTTCAGGTCAGTTTTCAGGGTTGCTGTGGTCAGAGCTGACCCGACACACCCAAAAGCACCCTTTGACAGCTCTCTTTGGTACACAAATTTTAAAGTTCCCAAAATAGTAGCTTGGGAATTATTTCACCTCCTTCCATAATTTACAGCTAAAATAACCCACTCTTGATACCCAAGAAATATCATTATAAATACTCTACAATGCGTAAGACTAGAATGACTTGTTCACCCAGGTATCTGGGCAGAAGCTTAAGTAAGAAGTATATTAACCAGAGCACCACTTTGCTGAGATTACTTTGCAAATGCCTAAAACTCTCCTTCATCAACAGCGGATGACTTAGCATCTGAACTATAATGAACGGAGCTGGACTTGACAGATTTGTACCTACCTGATTTTGTTTCCTCTGAAACTCAGATTTCACCAGACCAGCCAAACTCCATCTGAAAGCTTCACAAGAGATAACCTTGGCTCTGCCGTATCTTTGGTTAAGATTTATTGAAGCTTCGCGCCTGCTGGAATGGGTCCCTTCTGTCTTCCAGTTCTCCAGCCGCCCTACACCCCGCCACTCTTTCATCAAAACTATACAACCTCCTGAAAATTATCACACTGACTCTCTTACCAATCCTTTCTCTCCCATGATCCTCACAGATTTCCTGGGCCCAGAAGAAGTCTGAAATGAACACACCCACTGTATCTTAAATGGTTTTATTAAAGGTTAATATAAAATATAACCAAGTTACAAGTTGTAAGAATCTGTAGTTTTTGAAAATGTGTATCAAAGAAAGGGCAGGACATTCAACTTCAGTGGCAGCTGTTCAAACACAGGTCAGTGTCAGGCAGGGGCAGCCCAGGGGCAGGACGGAGCCTGGTTTCTTACCTATTTCACAGGAAAGCTCCGTGGCATGTAGTCACCCCTTAAAGCAGACCTGGGGTGCAAAGACAGGGGTCAAAAACAGGTCAGGATCCAAAACCCAGGTATGGGTATCATCTGAGAAGTGTGTATTCCCTCTCCCCAACAAATATAGATTCTCATTGCATGAAAAAATAACATGTTAAGACCATCTCTTCTCCACCACTTGGGCAAACTTAAGCAGAGACCCTCAAGAGAAAAAGGAAAGACTTTGCTGGGGTTCTGAGGAGTATTCCTTAGGTCCGGAGGGACAGAGAGCCCTGGGAGCTTGTCCTTCAGCCATTACACCCCTCATATGCTGTTGTTTCATTCTTTCTGCAACCAGAACACAGACACACAATGTCTGACTCTCTCCACGACTTATGAGTCCTGAACTTTACACTGAATCCTCGTAGGCTCTACTAGTAAAAACTTTGAGAGGTTACTAAATGCAGATGTATGCTGGACCTAGACGGTAGAAAGCCAGTGGAAGCTCAGAACATCGTCTGAACCCTTTGAATTCTGAAAAGAACTTTAAGGGAGTGGGTAAGGAATTGTGCTGCTACCCCAAAGGTGAGTGGTTCGAATCCACCAACTGCTCCTTGGGAGGATAGGCAATCTCCTTTTGTGTGATTTACAGGCTCTGGAAACACACTGGAGGATCAGTTCTGACTTGACAGCAATGAGGCTTTGAGTTTGATGCTTCCCAGAATGTTGGCGAGGTGGAAATCGTCTCCCAAAAAGACAGAGCGTTCATCATGGCCTGTCTGAGGACACAGATATTTCTTTGCTACTACAAAGTGTCCAGGGAGTGTAAATGCATAGCCACTTAACAATGACGATTTAAAAGTCCCAATTCCTAGGATGCACACAGCACTTCGTTGGCCACGAGACTGAGAATGGTGATCAGAACAGACACAATCCCAGTTCTGAGGCTGTAACCTAGAGGAAGCAGGTGTCCTGTTTACGTACTTCAAACTAGGATCTGAAGATCCTTTCCCCTTGTTGCACTTTAGAAAATCTGTTTGTTCCTGTGTGTGTGTGTGTGTGTGTGTGTGTGTGTGTGTGTACTGACTATACTCAAGTATCAGACAGAATATGGCAAGGTTCAGATCTATTATTCATAATGTCACTGTGCATCACAGTTGACTCGACAGCACCTAACAACATCAACAACAACAGATTCAAATAGGAAAGAAAGAACTTGCATTTGCTGAGGTCCAAGTGATGCTGTTGTTGTTAGGTACCATCGAGTAAAAGAGACATTAAAGGGCATTAAAGCAGTTGGTGGGAACCAGCCGCAACTGAGCCAAGCCATAACTCTGGCAGACACATTCCCTACGGTGGGGGGTAGTTGCCAGGTGTTTGCTTTACTGTGAAGCCAGATAAAATAAACTGGAAACCACTGTTAAAAGGCATGGAAAAACACATACTTTTTAAAAAATACACACTTTGGTATTAAAACCAACCACTCACTGGCAAGAGCTCAAAGGAATTAAGGCTTCAGGTGAGGGCACGGTGCGAAGAGGCGTGTGAGCTGTGCTGTGCTGGGCCCAGGGACCTGCCAGCACTGTCTGCACACGTGCAGCTCAGGAGTACACCCAGAACACAGCAGGGCCCCCTGGAGGGCCATGACCCCCACTGTTCAGAGCACAGCATGACCCAGCCCACTTGGCAGTCCTGGCTCCCCAGCCGTGGCAGAGATCATGGGAGCAGCAAGAAAAACAGTGTGGACAAAGTCCAACTCTAAGGACTGACACTACCAAGGTCTCCAAGGATAAGCTGCTGGGCAAGGCAGATACCCGCTTTTGCAGTGGTCAGGGAGAGAAGGATCCACCATGGAGCAGGGTGGTCAGTCCTCGGGGTGAAGGACACCCTTCACCTGCCAGTCTTACACCAGAAGGCTGGAACCCACTCACCAGGAGCCAGCCTTCTGTCCAGCAACAATGGCCATCACACCTCTTCCGTAGGCGCCCTGTATGGGAACAATCTGCAGGCCACAGAAGTAACCAAGAACTTTCAATAGGAAATTGGTATAAAATGAGAAAAGTGGTCACTAAATCTAGATACAAAATAATGAAAAGTTAATACAAAAATTTCAACATGCAACTTTTCCAAAAACAACTATCAACAGTTTCAATGGGTATTAGCGCCGGTTAAAGACGAGGTCTACCATGTCAACTATCTGGATCCAAGAGCCGGCGTGGGGTGGCACGTGGCACACAGTGTGAGAAAGTAGCTTCAGCATGAGGATCCTGGACAGCTGGGTGGGCGGAGCATCTGGAAGAGCTTCCCCGTGGCCAAGCCTTCCAGGGACTTGCCAGGATGCCAGCCAATGTCATGACGGCCAAGAATATTGTCATTAGTCACTTGTCCATTAAAGGGGTAACACAAGGAGACGGAGACCATGTTTGCAATTCTTGTGACATGGCTGAGAAAATTCTTCGAGGAAGGCGGAGCTGAGAAAAGACGTTTTCTTTACAACAATGACCGAGTTCTTAAGTCTTAAAAAATTCCAAATGTTAAGCTGCTTTTATTAAATCATCAAAAATGGCATAATATATCTGGTCTTACCCAAAAAAAGGGGGAAATCTGGGTAGGACGGTATTTAACAATTCCCCAACGGTTAAGAAAAAAAGAGTATAGCAATCAGAGAAACGCTCAAGACCAGGCTTGCGCTTCTAGCCTCCTCCACTGCATCACCCTGGAAAACATTTGGGGGGGGGGGGTCTCGGTTTCATTTTTATTACTTCTGTCTAGCTCATTTTACCAGTTGTCCAGAAAGTCAAATCCCGTCTTCAAAATGACATTGCTGAAGCTGGCCTGCAGAGGGGAGAGAAATACAGGTAAAGAGGGACTGTCATCTAAAAACAGCACATCATTGAAAATGACCCAAATGAAGGAGCCTGAGGCTGCCGTGAACACTCCCTGAACTCAACGGACCCAAGGGGTCAGAGCAGAAAATCACATAAACCCACGGCACAACCAGCATCCAGCACCTCCCCAGGCAAGGCTATGCAAAGACAGCTTTCCTATTTGTGAATGAAAAAGAAAGATTAGAAGTGGAGATTAGAAAGGGATGGTGGAGAATAAACAGGTAAGATGCAATGAGGATTTGATGAGGTGGGGAAATAAAAGTAATAAATCAGTACCATGTATAGAAACTATTTGTATAAAACAAAATGTATATGAACAAAACAATGTATATGAGTGATAGTCAAAAGTGAACAATGGCATAAATAATCAATTTATTTTGTTGTTGTTGTTATGTGCCGTTGAGTCATTTGCGACTCATAGTGACCCTATGCACAACAGCCCTAAACCCTGCTCTATCCTGCGCCAACCGCACTGCCTCTGACACACCCATCCCGATTACCCCAGTCACCGAATCAATCCATCTCATGGAGGGTCTTCCCCTCCTGCGCTGTCCCTCCACCCTCCCAAGCATGATGTCCCTCTCCAAGGACCCGTCCCTCCTGGCAACATGTCCAAAGTATGTCAGGCGAAGCCCCAGAATCCTTGCCTCCAAGGAGTAGCTTGGTTTAATCCTCTCCAAGATGAATTTGTTTGTTTTTCTGGCAGTCCATGGTACATTCAGTACTCTTCTCCAGCACCACAGCTCAAAGGCATCCACTCTCCTTCTGTCCTCCCTAGTCATTGTCCAACTCTCTGATGCATAACAAGCGATTGCAAAGACCAAGGCCTGTATCAGGCACACCTTAGTCTCCAGAGAGACACCGTTGCTCCTGAGTACTTTAGAGAGGTCCCTAACAGCAGACTTTCCCATCGTGATACACTTTTTGATTTCCTGACTGCTGGTGCCAAGATGGGCCACTTAAACATCAGCCTCCACAAGCCTGAGACCAGCAGAACAAGACAGTGGCTGGTGGCCAGGGAATCGCGTAGGACAGAGCTCAATACCAATCAAAGGCCAGCATCACTGGTCCCAGAGGGGCTGGTGGGACCCCCAAGACGATGGCCCTTAGTGTCCTGTTCATCTTGAACAAGGCTCGCTCCTGTGGCTCAACTTCCATCCAAGCAACAGGCAGACATCTAAGGTGACCAGCAGCACCGGGGAGGCACTCACTCCTGAATAAGGTCACAAGAGCAGCTTCTGCCCAAGCATACATGAAGGGACAGGACAGAAGGACTGAAGGCGGTGACGATGGCAGGGAGGGGTGGGTAGAGTGCAATGACATTGTGAGTACTGAGAGGTTTGAAGACCAAACGTGCATGAATGCTTGAACTGAAAATCAAAAATCAATTTGCTTTGCAAACTTTCACTCAAATCACAAGAAAAAATAATTTTTAAAAGTATTCCTTTCAGATTATGCCAAAAGAATCTCAAGTTCTTTTTCTTTAAAGTAGGATTCTTGGAGTTTGGGACAACCTATATAAATGAGATTTGATTTCAAGAGACTGAGCAAGGATTTTACACTAAGCTCCTAACCAAGCGGTTAGAACCTACCAGCTTTTCAAAGGAGAATGTGGCAGGACGTTCTCTCACACAGATTCCATTTCAGAAATACGCCAGGGCCATTTGACCCTATCTCACAGAGATGCTAGGAATCAGAACTCATGCAATGGCAGGAAATTTGTTTGTTTAGTTGTGGACCAGATTTGTAGACATTACCACAGGCTCAACAGCTTGGTTAAGACTTAAGATACCTATGAACAATTCCGTCCTGGAGGAACTGCAACCAAGGTGCTCCTCAGAGAAAAGGATAGTGACATTCTATTTCACGAACTTTGAACATATTGTCAGGAAGGCCCAATCCTTGAAAAAAGACATTGTGTGGGGAGAAGTGGAGGGTCAAAGAAAATGCATCTTCAACAAGACGCTGAAGGGAGTGGAACGAAGGGTGGAGATGGTGAAGAAGGGGCAAGATCTGTGATCTACATGGTCACCATGAGTTCTAGTCCACTTAACAACACTCATCTACCACAGCAGGTCTCTGTCTCATGGGTGATGTTCCTCCCAAGCAAGGAAACCAGGCCTGCATCTTTCCTGGGCCTGAATCTCCCCCAGGCCTGCCATCATTTCTGCATGAGAGAACCGCCACTGAGGTAGAAGAAGGGCATGGGCTTGGGAACTTAGCCCTGAAGCTGGATACAGAGTGCACGGAGTCATGAAAGTCTAGTGGTGCCCACACACCAGCCTCTCTTTCTCCTGGTTACTAAAGACTTTGGCATTTCACTGTGCCGCACGTTCAACAAGCTGTTCTTTAAAGGAATTGTGTGTGCTCTCGCCTACTCTCCCTCCCCATCCCTCCTCATGGCCTGTCTGAATGCTTCCTTCACTGGAAGGCTGGGCCCCAGTGTTGGGAGAGAGGACATCTGGCACAGTGTTCAAGGGAGCTGGGAGATAGAACAGAGGGCCAGCAGAGATGCAGGGAAGGACAGCAACAAGCTGGTGCTTCAGATGGTGGACAGGACAGATATATGAGGGACAGACAAGGGGCAGGAGCACACTAAAGGACAGGTGTACAGTGGGAAGAGGGACAAACAGCAGGATCTGTGAAGGACTAGAAAGAGCTGAGACCCTGAGCCCAGGCCTTTAGGCTCCAGCATGAGAAGGTGTGTTTATCCTGATAACACAGTCATGCAGGGCTGTGTAACTGAACCACTTGGCAGTGAGGAGACTCTCCAACCACACTGGCCAGGCCCCCGCCACGAAGCTCCTGCTGCCATCCAGTCCTGTGTCAGAACCTCACCTGCACCCCTCTGACCCTACACAAATTCCACTGTGGACTGGAATGGTGCCCATCATACCCGCTGGGGCGACTGAGTCAGCATGGCCAAGCCATCACTGGTCCACACCTCATGTCTGGCCACCTCACCCCTGCTTCACACCAGGTTCGACCTCCAAGCAGCATCCTGACTCCAATGGTGGGGCCATCCAATAGTGATGGCCGACATCACTGCTATCCTCTCTACACACACTGCACAGTGGTATGGGAAGGAAAGCAGTGCAGTGTGGGGACAGGAACTAGAGTGTCGTGTGGGGACGGGGACAGCAGTGCAGTGTGAGGACAGGGACAGTAGGGCATTGTGGGGACAGGGACAGCAGTGCAGTGTGGTTACGGGAACGGCAGTGCAGTGTGAGGAGAGTAGACAGCAGTGCAGTGTGAGGAGAGTGGACAGTAGGGCATTGTGGGGACAGGGACAGCAGTGCAGTGTGGGGACTGGGACAGCAGTGCAGTGTGAGGACGGGGACAGCAGTGCAGTGTGAGGACGGGGACAGCAGTGCAGTGTGAGGATGGGGACAGCAGTGCAGTGTGGGAACGGGGAGAGCAGTGCAGTGTGAGGACGGGGACAGCAGTGCAGTGTGAGGACGGGGACAGCAGTGCAGTGTAGGGACCGTAGTACAGTGCGGGGACAGGGACAACAGTGCAGTGTGAGGACAGGGACAGTAGGGCATTGTGGGGACAGGGACAGCAGTGCAGTGTGGGGACGGACAGCAGTGCAGTGTAGGAACAGAGACAGAAGTGCAGTGTCGGGAGAGTGGAAAGCAGTGCAGTGTGAGGACAGGAACAGGAGTGCTGTGTGGGTCTGGGTTCTGAGCTGCTCTGTGGTGGTCACTGTACAGGTGAGTGGGCTCTGCGGTCACCTGCAGGTCCCTCTAGTGCAGGACAGCCTATTACTGCTCCGAGATGGTGCTCGTTCACAGCACTGCTGTTTAGTACACAATGCCGCATCTAACAAAGGCCCTCTAATACACTCTGACTGACCCACAGTGTGCGCATGTGTACGGGTGACACTGACAAATGCTGTTGAGTCAGCTTTGACTCACAGTGGCCCTGTGGACAACAGATCTGAACTTTGTCCTGTCCTGCTATACTCACCCTTGGGCTGAGCCCACGTTACAGTTGCTGTCAATCTATCTACTGAGGGTCGTCCTTTCTAGGAGCTGTTGGTGATTGCCACAAAGAAGTCCCAAAGAAGCCCTTCACATGGTTCCCACACAGTCTTTTCCAGGCATCCGGAATCTGAACCTGATCCTATCCTGTACTGTCGTCACCATCTCTCACCCAGCAACCTCCCAGATGCCTCCATCCCTCCAACTCTGCCGTCCACCCAATGGAAAGACTCACTCCTGCCTGGGACAAGCCATCCTACCTGCTTCCTCCACATTACATCAGGACATGGTAGCTCAGGATGCTACTGACCCTTCCAAAACAAAGCCTCAGTGTATCACAAGCCCTACAGTGGGTCACTCAGCCTCCTACTGATTGCTGTCCACACACCCTCTTTGTGTCCTTGTGGTCAAAACAGTCAGCATGAGAACAGCTCTACCCAGAAAGGCACCCTGAGGAGCGAGTGGGAGAGAGGAGGACCCCAAGCACTCTGAGGAGGGAACAGAGTGAGAGGAGGACACTAGGCACCCTGAGGAGGACAGGGAGAAAGGAGGACATCAAGTACCCAGAGGAAAGGATGGGGAGAGAGGAGGACATCAGGTACACCCGGAGGAGGGGATGGGGAGAGGGGAGGACATCAGCTATATTGAGGAGAGGATGGGGAGAGAGGAGGACATCAGGTACCTTGAGGAGAGGACAGGGAGAGAGGAGGACATCAGGTACCTTGAAGAAGGGATAGGGAGAGAGGAGGACATCAGGTACCTTGAGGAGGGGATAGGGAGAGAGGAGGACATCAGCTATCTTGAGGAGGGGATAGGAAGAGAGGAGAACATCAGGTACCTTGAGGAGAGGACGGAGAGAGAGGAGGACATCAGCTATCTTGAGGAGAGGACGAGGAGAGAGGAGGACATCAGGTATCTTGAGGAAGGGATGGGGAGAGAGGAGAATCCCAGGTCAGGCGAGCTTCCCACACTGCACCTACTTGCACAGCTGAGGGTTCAGAAAACAGAGCGTCTCCTGTGTCCTCCTGGGTGGCATCTGGAACGGGCGGCTTCATAACAGGCTCGGCAGGGCCAGCCTCCCTTGGTGGGCTGGTGGACAGCTGGCGCTGGGTGGGCAGAGGTCTCTCAGGTTCTGCCCCGATGCCAGGAAGGTCACGCGGCTCCTGCCAGGGGCCAGCAATCCACTCGGCCTGGGCCTCCCTGTCCCTTAGGGCAGGTTCCTGGCGGTGGCTGACTGGTATGACCTTCTCCCCTTTCTCCATGGACTTGATCTGGCTGGGGGTCAGTGACTGGAACTCAGCCTCGGGCCCCTCGCCCCGGGACCGCTCAGCATTGATCTTCCAAAAGGCAGCCTCCTCTCCCATCACGTCTGCGCCAGGGGTCTTGTTGCCCTGAGAGGACTTGGCCTGCGAGGTGGCACCTGGGTCTTGGACCGACAAGGAGGAGATGCTGAACTCCATCTGACTCTGTCCGCAGGGGCACCGAGGGAAAGAGACAAGATCAGTCCTTACTGTTAGCCCTCTCGGCCCATGGCCCAAGTACAGATCTGAGGCCACCCCTGTGGCCTGAATCTATCTGTGCGTTAGGTGAGTGAACCAGCAACCACTGATATGCACTGACACTTAGCCATCCTGCTCCTTCCCTGCCCCCACGCTCCAGGCCACCAGCAGCCGGGACCCCACGAGCCACAGCAGTTCTCCACCCACCAGGCACAGCAGCCTCCTGTCAATGCCAGCACCCTCCTAAGAGGGTGGAGCAGGAAGGTTGCCCACTTCCTCCAGCTGCCGTCCACTGTCCTCTCCTTCACCAAGGGTCAGAGCACTGTGTGCATCTTTCAGTGGCTGATGCTCCAGAAGCAGGTAGCCAAGCCTTTACTCAGAGGTGCCTCAGGGCAGACTCTCTCAGCAGACAATCATTTACACCCCTAGAGCCTCCTGCTGTGTTAAAGGCAGAATGAAACTTGAACCCTACTTCACTGGACCTGTGGCCTGGCCCACAGTCATGCCCTGCAGAAAGGTTCCTAGGAATAAACAAAGAAGCGCTCATAGCAGGTCTGTGAAGACCTCTAAGGCTCGGACTCCTCCTCACCCTCTCCTGCTTGGGCCTGCTGACCCCAGATGCCCCGAGGGCACCAAATACTCCACCTGCTCTGGTCCTGCCAATGGGACACAGATGGGAGATGCACCATGGCAGGTGGACCGCCTGGATGGCACCCAAGTGCATACCAAATGCTGAGGCTGACGGGACACAGCTGGTCTACAACTGCCCCAAGAGATGTAGCAGAAGCAGCAATGAGCGATGTCTATCGCTCTTTTGAAAACAGGCATCAAGAGTCTCCCTCTTCCTCAATGTCTCATCATTATCCCCATTTCATCAATTTTGCTACTTAAAAATTTTAGAACATTACAGAATGTCTGAGAAAAAAGAAGAGAAGTTACTCAGAACCCTTCTCTCCCCTTAAGTCACTGGTCATTTTTGTACTTTTGTGTGAAATGAGTCCATGCATATTTTAAGAGGTTATATTCTTCCATTATGTATATGATCATGGAAATACTTAGTCATTTAATCTTAGACACCATCCACACGAAGGCATCATCTTTACAACCATTACTTTTAGTGGCTGCAAAATAAGATCATCAATGGCTGCAAAACACATCATTCCACCATCAATTTGAACTTTCTTTTGCTCTCAGTCAATTTAGCACTGCTATTAAGAGAAAGACTAAGTCTTTGAAGACTAAAGTGCACCTGATTCAGATCATGGTCTTCTCAATCACCTGCTATGCACCAGAGAGCTGGACCGTGAATAAGGATGACAGGAGAAGAACTGATGTCAATGAGCTGTGGAGCTGGAGAAGAGTGTTGACTATCCCATGGACTGCCAAGAAACCAAACAGATATGTCCTGGAAAGGATGCAGCCAGAGTGCTCCGTGGAGGCAAGGAGATGAAGCTTCGTCTTTCATATTTTGCACATGTAGGTAGGTGAGACTATTCCTTGGATAGGGACATCATGCTTGGAAAAAGGAAGGGCCAGCAAAGGAAAAGACTCTCAATGAGATGGGTTGACACTGTGACTTCAGCAATGGGCTCTAGTGTCTCAGGGATGAGGAGGATGGCAGGATTCAGGTTGGCTATTCATAGGGTTACTATGAGTCCTACTCAACTGGACAGCACCTAACAACAGAAAGAGAAGAAGGCCCCTAACAGAATGGATTGACACCATGAAAGCAGCAATGGGCTCGAGAATGCAGGAGAACATGAAAACGGCAGGACTGGGGCAGGGTTCAGACCTGTTGTTTCAAAGGGTCACTATGAGTCCCAGTTGCTTTCAGTGTACCTAACACCACCACACTCTGTTAAAATTCAGGTTGTGGCAAACACCTTCATTATTAGACAGCCCTCCGCTATTTGGAATTTATTTCTTCAGAGAGGTTTCCAGAATTGATATTTTGAAATCAAAACAGAACATGTTTAAGCCTTTCTGTCTTGTCTAAGCCCTTCTGGGAGCACCCGATCAGATTTCCTTTCAAGGGGTTGTCCCAATCCTCATGCCACCAGCTGTCCTTCAGAGCAGCGTCTTGCATCACTATAGCCATGCACTGAAGAAAGCATGTTCATTTAAGAGTGCAAACTTGAGAGATGAAAACATGGCTCTTTCTTTTCTGAAGAAATGGCCCATTCAGCTAAATCTTTGAAATCAACATAAAAACAGAAAACATGACATTTTACAATACTTGTGTAATAGTGGAAAACTAATTTCTGACTGTAAATAATTCCTGCAATGGTTTAAAGTAGCACTTGGCAAGGCCTTAGGTAAGAAAGGATCTTGTTTGTGGGTAATAGATGGAATAATAGGTGTGTGTCAGAGTGAGACTGGCCCAGGAATGGACAGGTTCAGAGCTACTGTATAATGAGTCTCTATGAGTCAGGGGCGACTCGGTAGCATGTAACAACAATAACAATTCCCCAGTTAAAACATGTAGTGTTCCCTTGTTCTATTCACACAATAGCCTCCTAGTCTATGTTTTGCATGAGTATAATTAAGTGCTCTGGGATTCCCAATTTTCTCAATATCAGCCACAACTTGTCATGATCCACACAGTCAAATGCCTTTACATAGTCAATAAAGCACTCAGGATCATCTGACATCAGCAATGATATCCTTGGTGCCGTGGCCTCTTCTAAATCCTGTTTGAACTTCTGGCAGTTCCATATATGATATATGATATGTTCAATAATTTCCACGTTCTGTTGGATCACATTTCTTGGGATCAGGAACAAATATGGACCTCTGAAATCTCTTGGCCAGACAGCCATCCTCCAAATTTCCTGGCATGGACTGGTGAGTGCATCTAGGACTATATCTATTAATTTAAACAAGTCGATTGGTATCCTATCAATTCCTGGGGACTTATTTTTTCCATTGCTTTCAATGCAGCTTCCACTTCCTCCTTCATTACCACTGAATCCTGCACATATGGTGGCTGTTGTGGTGTACCATTAAGGTGGCAGTGACCTATAGCTGACCCTCCAACAAGTTTTCAGAGGCAGTTAATAGCACAGGAGGAAACCTTTGAGTGAGGATGACCATCCTTCTCCCACAGAGAAGATTATGGATTCGAACCACGTGCCTTTGGGTTTAGGTTTACAGGGCAGCTTCTTGCCACTAGGGCACCAGAGCTCCCTGAACATACAGTACTTCCTGAAATTTTTCCATGTCAGTTCGTTTTAGTGCAGTGATTCTGCATATTCCCTCCATCTTCTTTTGATGCTTTCTGGGTCATTCAATAAACTGCCCATAACATCTTCAATATTGTGACTCGAGGCTTAAATTTTTCAGTTTCCTCAGCTTGAGAAATGCAGACTGAGTTCTTCCCTTTCTATTCTCCAATTCCAGCTCTCTGCACATTCGATTATAATATTTTGCTTGTCTTCTTAAACTGCCCTTTGAAATCTGTTCAGCTCTTTTATTTCTGCATGCTTTCCCTTTGTTTTGTCTTCTCAACACTTTAGTGCGATTTCTAGAGTCCCTTCTGATATGCAGTTAAGTTTTTTCTTTCTCCTCTGTCTTTGTAATGACTTCTTGCTTTCTTCATTGATGATATCATTGATATTATCCCACAGTTCCTAAGGTCTTTGATCATTGGTGTGTAATGCTTCAAAGCAATTCTTAAGACGATCTTAAAATTCAGATGGAATAGATTCACGATTACATTTTTATTCTCATGGACTTATTTTCATTTTCTTCGGCCTCAGTTTAAACTTGCCTCAATTGGATCATGAGTAATTGATGGCCTGACCCACAATCTGCCCCTGGCCTGGTTTTGACTGCCAATATTGAGCTTCTCCAACGATTCCTTTCACAAATGTAGTCAATCTGACTCCTATGCAGCCCATCAGGTGGGTTTCATACATAAAGTCATTATTTGTGTCTTTTAAAAAATATATTTGCAATTAATAAATCACTGAAAATACAAAATTTGACCATTCCATTTATAGCCTCATTTCTATCACAAAGCACATATTTTCCAACTACTATTCCTTCTTCTCTGTTTCCAACTTTTGTAGTCTAGTCACTGATTATCATTACTGCATGTTGACTGCATGTTTGGTCAACTTCAGATTGCAACATTTGGTAAAAATTTTCAATTTCTTCCACTTTGGTTCTAGATGTAGAAGTATATTATGTGAATAACAGTCATATTAATGGGCCTTTCTTGTATGTGTATAGATAAAATCTTATCACTCTCAACTCTGTATTTCAGGATAAAACTTGAAATTGACTTTTTAACTATGAATGTACCACCATTCTTCTTCTGTTTTTTAGCCTCAGCATAGTATGTGCTTGGTACCAGTACTCAGGAAATCAGAAGGCATACTACCACTGAGGAAGTCTGTAATCAGAGACCTTTGCAAATTACTGAGACATAATGATGTCAGTTTGAGGACTAAGGTGTGCCTGATTCAGGCCATGGTCTTTCTGATCACTTGTTATGCATTTGAGAGCTAGGCAGTGAATAGGATGACAGAAGGAAATTGATGCCTTTGAGCTGTGGTGTTGGAGAAGAGCACTGGACATCCCATGGACGGCCAAAATAAAAAAACAAATATATGTCTTGGAGAAAGTATAGCCAGAATGCTCTTTGGAGGCAAAAGTGAAATGGCTTCATCTCACTTCAGGCATGTTGCTAGGTAAGGTTATTTCTTGCAAAGGGACATCATGCTTGTAAAAATGGAGCATTGGCAAAAGAGAAGAAGACCCTCAACCAAATGGACTGACACAGTGACTGATGCAACGGGCTCAGGTGTTTCAGAAATTGTGAGGATGGCACAGGATAGGACAGGGTTCAGATCTATTGTTAATATGGTCGCTATGAGTCATAATCAACTCGACAGCATCCAACAACAATCTCCTAGTTAGGGTGGCCTACTATGTAAGGAGCTACACTGTCAGACCAAAAACAG